GTCATCTCGCGCAGTATTTGGTTCGATCATTCTTGTGCATTTTCTGGATGGATTTTTTGGTAACTTCCTAAATACCTCAAATACCCGGAACAACGTCGAGTTGATACTCTGCTTTAAAATCTATGCACTGACCGGTGCTGCATTGCTTAATGGTCAGATTGCTGGCAATCCTGACATTTGTTTCGTTCCACTTAAGAGTACACCGGCCCAGTGGTTTTTTCGGTAGAAGTACTTGGCAAAGCTCTAGCTGTCGCGAGACGTTTTTGCTGTTTTTGTTGAGCATTTCAACCTCATCCGGAGCATCAACACCAACTGAGTTGCTGGACCTCATGCGCATTTACAGCTTTTCTATGCCTTTTTGCTGAGCAGCGCTATAGTTACAGTGAACAAAAACGCATATTATCGAGAGGTGGATATGAGAAATACTCAATTTTTCTGCAAACTCAAGAGCGAGTGCGTTTTGCAGACTTCATAACCCCCTCCCCCGAGTTCCTTCAAATTTGCATTTTTTCAATGAACGAGCACTTATCGGGAAAACGACGGGCCTAATGCGAAAAACTGATAATCATGTACGCTGGAAGTCCATGCAGCCCTATAATGCAACACCTTCATCCCAGCCAATTCCCTTCCACTTTGCATGCGGAAAGGGGTCGAAACACAGCCGGTATGAGTCCAAGTGTTAAACTATAGCGTAGGGACCATTCTTGCTGTTAGCAATCTGCAAGTTTAGCGCAAAAACGCATGATCGTACCGGCAAGTCTGATGCGTTCTAGCCTGGGTTTTTGAACTGAATATCATTTTGTGCAATTATTTCCCGCGAATCATGTGACATCGCAGATTAAGTTGTGTTTTTGTGATTCCAGGAAATGGCTACTACTGATGGGAGAACGACGAAGCTGTCAACCGGAGCCGATATGCCACTCGTTGGACTAGGTACCTGGTTGGTTCGTATTCGACAATAATTCTCAGTTCTAGACAATGTTTGCGCTTTGCTTCTTGTTTGCTGCTTTTTTGTAGACCGAGAAATCCCATCATTTCTTTGGCTTAATTCCAAGTCCCTCACATTAATTTCAAATTCGTGTTTCTTTTTTTTTAGACTTTCCAGTTCAGGGTTTCTTTTTCTGTTTTTTACTGCATTTATAACTATTATTTATTGCTATAATTTAGCGTTTTAATTGCCATATTTTGATTAGTTATCATAAATTAAACCATAATCTAATGTGAAAGCGCAATAATTGCAACTCCTCATGTAGCTGAATTTCGTCGGAAACCTTATGGTCAGTAATATTATAAAAAAAAAAAAACAGACTTTTTCACTGTAACATCTGAAAAATGGACCAAATGATAAGCTGCACAATAAATTAGGCTGCGCCTATTGCTTTCATCCCATAAACCTTTACAATTCTGTATTT